TCTCCACAGAGCCTTCTCTTCTCCAGATTGAACAAGCCCAGCTCCCTCAGATTGTCTTTGCAGGAGAGGTGCTTCAGTCTCTCATCATCTTTGTGGCACTCCTCTAGACCTGCTCCAAAAGGTCTTTCCTGATCTGTGGGCCCCATGTACTCCAGATGAGGCCTCAAGAGAGCAGAGCAGAGAAAGACAAACACCTCCCTTGCCCTGCTGCCACCTTCTTTTCAATACAGCCCAGGATACTATTGGAACTCTGGGCCCTAATATCATGTCAGTACAGTGAAGAAAAGCTGCTGGACCTTTGAAATGTATTACTCATTCTGAGTTAATGAATATTGTTCAGCACCCTTAAGAAGATAAAATCTTATTAGGCTAATCAGACAAGTAAAACGTCTTCAAATCCAGTTGGAAATATATTTAGTCGTTATTCTCTTGGTAATGTTCAGCAATGATTCAGCAGCAAAAATCTGTGAAGAAATACATATTTTTTATTTTATATGCAGAGTATAATTTTATTTTAAATTATTGAATAATACTTCTAACTGAATGAAGATTAAAAGATATTGTAATGAAGATTAAATTATATTTATGATCTAATGGAAAGTTCATGACTTTTCCGGCATATTCCAATTGCAAGCAGACAACTGAAAGAAGCTACTAAACATCATACTTACAAGGAAAAAGTAGCTGAGGATGTGAACGCTGGGTGCAGCAAAGACAGCAGATGATGGATGTCAGGATAAAAAACACAGGATGAAAATTATGGACATTAAGAGAACAGACCTTGGCCTATTACCTTCCACAGTCTGTCTGGCAGAATCCCAAGAGAAGTAGTGCTAGAGATAAGAGAACTCCAGAAGATTTGGTTGATTTTCAAAGATCACGTCCTCCAAGCTCAGAAATGATTTATTCCACATTCATGTAGTAAAGCAATGGCAGCAAGGTGTCTATGTGGATGAACAAAATGTTCCCTTCTAAACTCAAATTTTACAAGGAGTGGAAGCAGGAACAGGTGAAAGGGGAGGAATATAGTCACATCATCTGAGTATGCAAACACACCATTACAAATGCCAAAGTCCGTCTAGATTCAATCTGGCAGGCAATGTGAAAAACAACAAGAGTTTGTACAGATACATTATCAGCAAAAGGGAGACTAAGGAAAACATGAGAACTATTGCAGCATAGATGTTGCGACCTGATGACAAAGGACACGGAGATCAGGAAGTACTTAGTTATCTTCTTCCTCTTGTGTCTTTATCGGTAACATTGGACTTCAAACATGCCAGAGGAAATGTGGAACAAAAAAGACCCTCAGTAGATGAAGATCAAGTTTAGGAACATTTAAATAATTTGGACACATATACATTGGTGACACCTGATGGGATGCACCCACAAATGCTGAGGAAGCTGGCTGGCACCACAAATAGGTTACTCTTCATAACCTTTTACAGATCATCCTGACTGGGAGATAAGTCTAAGAACTGAAAGAAATCTAATGTCACTCCAGTCTTCCTGAAGAGAAGATGAAGATGAAATAAATCCTCCTAGGAGCCATTGCCAAACATATTAAGGATAACAATGTGATTGGAAGTAGTAAGTGTGGATTCACAAAAGGAAATCCTGTCTTTTACAATGAGGTGACTGGCATGGTGAAGGAGGGGAGATTGGTGGAAACTGTTTATTTTTACTTTAGCAAAGCTCCCAGCATTATCCCCCATAAAAACCTCATAATACCAACTGACAAGTATGGACCAAGTCAGTGAAGTGAGTTAGACTGAACACTGGCCCAATTGCCATTGGCAAAAAACTGTGATCAGTGACTTAACATCATCTACATATGAGTAACTAGTGGTGCGCTATAAGTGTCAATATTGGGTCCTGTACTATTTCAGAAATTCATTAAGATATTAATGATTTGTCTAAGGGGATAGTGTGCACCCTGACCAAATATGTTCAATATACAACATCAGGTTTCTGATTGCAGGCCTGTGCTGCTATTCAAAGAAATGTCAACAGGCTGGAGAGATGGGCCAACAGGAACCAAGCTGAACAAAAGGAAATGATTATCCTGCACCTGCGGAGAAATAATGCTATGAACTCCAGGTAGCAGGCCAGCAGCTAGAAAGTGGTTTGCAAAGAACGGCCTGGGAGTTCTAATGGGTAAAATTTAAAATGAGTCAGAAATGTGCCTCTGCAACTAAGAAGGGAAACAGCATCCTTGGTTGCATTTGAAAGAGTATTGCCAGCAGATCAAGTAAGATGATTCTTCCCTATTTCTTAGGGAAAACACATATGGAAACACATGTGGAGTGCTGGGTCCAATGCTGGACTCCCTAAGTAAAGGAGAAGCAGATACTTAACACGCTTAAGTATTTCATTGAAGAACGACAAATGTGATTAAGAGAATGGAGTATCTGTCATATGGGGAGATGCTGAGAAAAAAAATTGCATTTAAATGTGAGATGTTTTTTCCCTGTGTGATTGAATACTGGGTGCAGAGATGTTGTGGCATTTTTAGCTTTGAAAATATCCAAAAATTAGCTGTACATCCTGAACAACCTTTTCTAGTTCACCAGCACTAGGACAGACACTCTCCTGAGGGTCTTCATCAGAACAATTCAGAATTCAAAAATCTCAGTAATTCTGTGATTTCTGAGTCTATGATTATATGAATTATGCCTCCATGATAAGCCCACAACTAATTTTTACATAACAAAATTTAAGATTCTACATTAATGCACAGAATGGTTTGACATATTAGAAATCACAATTTTTATTGTTCTACTCAAGTCTAAATGGCACAGACAGATAGCATGGATAAAGCACAGCAGTTTGAAAAAAAAAAAAAAAAAAAAGATTCCATCACTGCATCTGGCTGCTTTTCACTCCCTGAACTGGACAGACAGCAGGCTACTTGTGGGAGACTGGCAAAAACAATTTCTAGTATAAATCCATCAAAAGGTTTGAACTTGCACCTTCAAAACCAAATAAGTTTAAAAAATGCTGTGAATTTGTTCTCTGATGGGTGATGTAACTCAAGGAACATAAAGAATGGCTGAAACCTTTATCAGTGTTCAATGTTTTCACACAAATTTTTAGATATATTTAATGAAGGAGTAAGTCTCTGATTTCTTCAAAACAATTTCCATGAACCTCATTATCATATAACTGCTGTTGTCATGGCAAAGAAGGAGCTCTGAGATTTTGCATTAGTTTTAGCTTATGCTAAAGCTTTTAAGTAGCTGGAAAAAACATGTGCACAATATATGAAATAGAAAGAAAGGTATTACCTTGGCCCTGAAAACTTCTCAAAGATATATCTATAAATAATTCTCACTGTACACCTTATCAAATAAGTAAATAGATAAATAAAAGTTCTGTCATTATAGGGCATTGTTCCTTGAAGAAGAAAAATGTAAAAGATAAAGCTGATATGATCCACTATAAAACATGATGCATTTTTCCTTTCATTTATCTACAGTAATCTTTCCTCAGATTCTCACAATTCTATATTTCCATGAGTCATAGAAAGCTTGTCTTGCTACTAGAAATATGAGAAGTATTTACATAGTTTTAATTAAAATTATCTTTCATATAACATTTCTAAGGGTGTCTATAAAATAATTAAGTACAGGTTTTTGCCAGTGAGTCTTCTTGAACTAAATGGGGAGCTACAATCAATTAAGGCAGTGTTTAGTGATCTAATTAACAAATTGCTTAATCAAACTTCTTCTAAGCTTGAATAATTCAAAGTTTTGTTTGACAAAGCTCATCCTGCATACAATTTTTATGTGTTAACATACATGCCCCATTTTTAATGTGGCCAATTTCCATAAAGACATTTACAGAAGTTACATGGTTATGTTGTTCTATGTTCCTATACCCTGACCTTGGAAGGAAATTTCCAATAAGATGGGTCAGTGTGATAGCTCCTGATAGGTTTTTTTTAGATTTTGTTTATGTTGATTGAGATCTGAGCCAATGAGCTGTAACAATATAATACTATGCTAGCAGGCAATCAGATCACTATTACTTCAAACATCATTTTAAAAGATCTACTTTTTTATTATTTCTATAGCTCCATAGTTCATGGTTCTTCATAGAACTAATCAAAGACAGATTCCCTGCCCCCTAAGAGCTTACAGTCTAGGCAAGTACAAGAACAATAAGAGGAGATAACACAGGCAAGGGACAGAGGGGGTAGTAAATGAAGAGAAGGTCAGTTAGATTACAGTTACATGATAAGCCAGTGTGTTTGTCTTAGTGAATACAACTGGGAGGATGTGATGGTTCCATAACTTCATTTTTATTTAAAACTTCTATAGTATAGCCATGAAGAAAAGATTTTGAAAATAAATTTGAAAATGTTAGAGGTGCTTGTGGGAAGGCAGAGAAGTAAGCCTGGAAGGGAAAAGGTGACTAACATATCTGAGGATGGAAAGCAATGATCTAGAATGCCAGATGGGTCAATCTCAGCAATCCGTCCTTTTCCTTCATATATTTGACAATATGATAAAGAGCACAATTTCTCCTGCACACCTGAACACAAGCTGGCACTTTATTTTGCCCTTAATATCTTATTAGTATACATTTGACTGAGTACAGAATTTTCTGAGTACAGTATTGAGCAAAATCAAAATTTCTCTATAACAGGAGTTTTGCCACTGCATTCAAAGGAGCTAGCATTTTGATCGTTATACTTTGAGGCTGTTGATATATTTGGAGACTCCATTGTATTTGGAGAATGAGTAAAGTCATGTCTAAAGTACGAGAAATATTTTCCTAATATCCCTAAGAGATTAATAATATGAAATTGATTTCATGGCATTACCTTTTACCTCTTTGTGTGACATTTTCTCTAATCATGTTCTCTTTTCCCTGAAAACATTTTGATTTTCTATAATATATAGTATATCCAGGACTTTCTCCTGCTTCAGTTTGTGTGTTTGGGCTTTAATGTTTTCTTCATGAATTTTCTATTCTGAAATTTTAACTAGATAGTGTAATAGAGTAAAACAATTTTATTTTTGGATTTATTTTTTTTTTTTTAAGACTATGGTTGAAAATAAAAAAAAGCTATTACATAGAATCACAAGTAAAAGGAAAACAAAAACAAAAACAAAAACAAAAACATAGAAGGTTATTTGAGACTTAGGGAACCTGCATTAGAAGAGGGATTGAACTAGAAGATTTCCAGAGGCCCCTTCTAAACCCTATGATTCTGTGATTCTGTGAATTCTTGAAAATTGAGCTGAAAATTTCAGAAAGTAGTATCTCACAAGAAACTATCACATACTCTCTAATGTGTTTGAATTTGCATCTCTATAATAGAAGAGTAATATGAAAGTGGTCTCTTGGTGCCTAGATTGGGCCATAAATCCCCATTTATTATAAAGCATCACATTTCTGTTGATGGAATCTAACTATTTGGACCAGATTTTTTTCTACTACTCCTTGACAAATGATAATAACAAAAAAGCCAGAGAGTATTTTTTGTTGTTTGGTTGTTCTCTTTTCTTCTGTAATATCCACATAGTTGTCTATCACTGTATAATCATGCTGAGGCATGAGAAATAAAGATTATGAACATGTACCTTTCGTGAAGAAGATAAAGGAAAAAAATGTTCCTTTCAACCTTTACTGTCATTTTTCAGCCAGTGGGTACCACCATATAGTTGAGTTATAACTGCTTGAAAATTTTTCTTTTGAGTGACATTCAAGGTCAGTCAGAGAAGCACCCATCATCCTGTCCTAATCAATCAACAGACTAATTGAGCAGATTCTGAATCTTCATAGGCCAGATACTCACTTTATTTCAGATGGTGAGATTCCTTTGACTTTAATGACAGTGTAGAAATTTATACTGTCTGAGCATTCAGAAGTTTTTCAAAATTAAGAAGTTTTCTTCAGAACAGACAATTTCTATCATAGCAGTGACGTAAAATGAACCGTCAAACATTTTGGAATACAGAACTACTAGCAATATTTCCTATTACTTTGGAGTTCAGCTGTTTTTTAGCTTTTTTCTTTTTTCTTTTTTTTTTCCTTAAATTTCTTAATTTTATGTAAAAGAATGCAGAAATAATTACAACAGAATAATATTATGATTTTGTATTTTTGTAAATAATCTTATTATCCTACTATGAATCTGTATCTGGATTTTAAATATAAATCTCTAGTTATTTTGTGTGTTTCCTTTAATAATGAAGGATGAAATTGTCACTGAAACCCTAATTAAACCACACTAGTTCTGTGTTAGGATTCTTGTACTTTGGGGGATTTTGAACTAATTAAATATTTAGGACATATTCTACAGCTACACTTGCTTTAGCTCACATAAAGGTTAATGGGAATTAGCCAGGTGCATCAGGGGGAGAATGACATTTCTGTTTATTTCAACACCCTTCATTCAGAAAAGAAAGATTTGTCTGAATATAATACAGCATTTTATTTCATGATTTTACAAATTTTATTGTAAATCATCAAACAAATTCAATAGCCAATTTTTTTTTTCCATTCCAAACCATCAGAAGTAGGAGTTTTCATTATGTTGTATGACAATTACTTTTTTCCCCTTTTTATTTTAAAGAATTAACTTAAAATTAAATATGCATTATGTAAGCATACTAATTTTCAGAATCTTTGCTGAAGGTGTTTTTTATCTTGCTTTTACTTCAGACAAAGATAACTTGTTCTTTGTTATCACATACATGGGGATGAAACTCTCACAAACATCAGAGATTTTGCTTTCTCAGTCCCTATTCACAATGGAAATGGCCAGCTCAGTCTCTATGAAGATTTATGAGAACTGGGTAGTAGACACAAACCTCCCTCCTTTGCCCAAATATCATTACATAGTTTCTAAAATTTGGGTGATATTTCATATATTCTTGTCTTAGAAAGATGATGATAAGGTTAAATTATGCCTCAGTAAACAAGTGATCTCATTACTTACAAATGACAGGTTATTTATGATAATTCTATGGTTTTCTTTTTTTGCTTGTTTTAAATAGCCAAATGAAATATTTTCCATATAAAGGCCATCTTAACCATCTTTTTTTCTTGAAATAAAATTTCTATATAGCCATCCTACACATTTTTTTTTTTTTTTTTTTTTTTTTTTGCTTAGATACAAAGAAATTTACTGTAGATGGTAGTGAAATTTTCAGCATCTTAGGGCAGTATTTCAAAATGTTAAGTTCAGGAAGTCAGGATAGGCAGAGCATAAAAATAAACGTTGTAGCAACTAAGAGCTAGGTCCAGCAAAAACTTATCATGGTGTGCTCTACTGGCTTCTCTCAGAAATCCCAGCAAACACTGGCCACATGTTTAGTGGCAAGAATTAACAGGTTAGGGCACTAAAACTGAGGTTGTTGTAAGTACCAGTACCAACACAAAGTACTGTATGTATTTTGCTCAAATCACGCAGCAAAAAACCAAAATAACTAAAGCTGACATAAGTTTAATAATCCTTTTTTTTTCTCTTTTTTTCCCTTTTTTTTCCTTTTTTTTTTTTTTTTTTTTTTTTTTTTTAATTTTGTGGTACTTTAACTGTTATCACAATGTGGTCAAGAGGTCTGTGTCTTTTACCATTTACACACAATTGTTCATGACAGCATGTTACCAGCCTAGTGGAAATCAGGGGTGTTGTATGGTAAGCAGTGGTGGTAGTGCACCTAGTTTTTATATTATCTAACTTGAAAATATGACTCTTCTAAGATTCCTTTTTCTTGATAAAAATAGTTTTCACCAAACGTTGGTGGTGCTCACGCACTACCACTCATGCTTGGCATCACACCCCTGACAGAAACATATGCTCTTATTTTGTTGATAAAAAGTATTACAAAAATTTCCATACAAAAACTATTTTCATAGAAATCTTGCATTTCCACAAATAAACCTGAACATTTTTTTTTTTTTGAAAAAAAAAAAAAACTGCTCAAGAATTTTGTTCATTTAGTACTGTGACTGTATTGAAAAATGCAGTCCTCCTTAAAGTTCTCCACATTCACTTCTTTTAGGTGACCCATTCTACTTCCAACATTCGTGAGAATTGCACAGGCTCCATTGAGTTCAATTAGTAGCAGGAACAAAGGCTTCAAAACCCATTCAGACTAAAATGCAAGTCTCTATACATGAAACACATTGCTTTCCCACCCCTTTCCCCTGTCCTTATTACTCCCCCCCTTCTCACAATTTAAGAAAAAAAAAGTAATTGTTTTTATCTAAAAGTTGTAAGATAGATTCTTTTGTACTCACAGACCTTTTATTCCTCTAAGAATTGGATCAAAATTATGGATTATTCTTGTTTTTTATTAAAGTTCCAACCCAGGTAAATTTAAGTTAATGTTTTTTGTTTTTTTTAAATTATTTAATTATTATTTATTTACTTAGTTCAGTGACACAGACAGTCCAAAAACCAGGTGAGCATCTCCATGTATATTCTTCTATTCATGGATTCATGTTTCTTTTCTGTAATATTTTTCCCATCCAGGAAACTCATACCACCTGTCCTGATGGCAGTTACAGTCTACCAACAGTAACCAATACTTCTATATTTGGAAGTTCAGAAGAACTTATGGTTTCTTGTTTCACTACAGTTCTGAGATATTACTTCTACTAGACTCCTTCTGTGGTTAGTAGCATTTCAAATATTTATTCTCCATCTCCTGGCAACGGTTGAACTTCAAAAGGAACCTGTAATTTCTCATTGAGACTGCATTTGAAACCAGCCACAAAACTCATATGGAACATTCATTCATTCATAATGGTGGAAACCCATGACGAACAGTGTAACCCTGCATAACTCGGTTGATCCATGATGCTTGTGATTTGAGTCTGGCCATTGCAACTGTTGAGATCACAGAGTCTCTAGTTCATAGACACAGCGGCATGAGGTAACTCATTTTATTTTGCACAGGTTGCATATTTCCACAGGAAACATTCTCGCAAGGTTGTTTGGAAAAAGGACGACAGTTTGTGCTTGGGGTGTTAGGCTTCCCAGCTCTACGCCATGGTTTCTTTACCCGGCAACCTTCTGTCGTTAAATGTGTGCATGTTGATAACTTCTTCTGTTTTCACAATAACAGGGGCCTGTGGCTTGTGTTTTAATCGACGCTGACACTTCAGAGACATCCTTAGCTCCTCTACCATGGCACTACAGAAGGACCTCTAGAGAGGGAAATAGAGGGGGGGGGGGGGGAAAAGAAAAAAAAAAACACATCTGTAAGAAGTATCTAACTGCAATGCCTAGAAGCAGATTCATTCCATTGGCACAGCCGTGTCAATCCTTTAAGTTTGCTTTGTCTCAGCCTGGAGCTCATAACAAATTAATGTCTTTTAAATATGCATCGCATAATAATTAAAATGACTTATCAAGCTGTGATGACTCACTGAAAAAAATTCACCTTGTCTCTACAATTATTTATCTTCCAGCTACTGACATGCATGCACATGATACATAAAAATATTTCAAACAGATGTTCTGTTAACATAGTTTAGCTTTACAGGATAACATCTGAATTTAATGTGTATATTAGATATTCAGTAAAGTTTCCCTTCCCATATTTCAACACAATGCATTTAATTTCTATATAGTTTAGTTAGCTGATCCTTAACAAAACAGTAAGCTATATAGTGAAATATTTACCTAAATTAATATTGAACTACTGTAAAAATGCAGACCTATTACTGAAAAAAGGAATCTACTTCATTTTTTTTTCTAAAAAAACTTCTGCATTTAAACACTTCTTCCACTACCAAATATTATTTTGTGGAATATATTTTTAAAAATCTCCATGTTTATGGATTCAGAAAAAAATTATAAACATGTTTTCTTCAATTAGATCCTCAAAACCATTTTTCCTTTTTTTCCTAGAGCACAACACATTTGAAAAGCAACTTAAAATCTCCCTTATTACTCTGATTTGAATGAATTCTGAACTGCTAATAGTGTGCTGAGCTATTACCTCATTCTTGGTCTTAGAACTGAAGCATGGAATAAACAGAGGGGTGAAGAAGAGAACTCTCAATTTTGGGATCTTTTTCACTTTTATCACATGCTCTAAGTGAAATGCCTACCAGCTAGTGGATAAATGTATTTATGAAATAATATATTCTAGAGCCTGAGATAGCATGACAAGCTTCTGACAATGCTTCTCATGAAAAGCAATAGAGCTGGGAGACTTGGTCTAGAAAGATTTTAAGGAACTCATCCTGCCTAATTCTTTGGAAGACTAATTTCAAATTGTGTTTTCAAAATCCACATTCAGTTCCAAATTCAAGATACTAAATTAGGAAGTGTGGGAGATATTGCAACTCTTAATTTGTGCAACCATTCATCAGGTGGAGTGTGTGAGCTGAACACGAGATTTGAGACTATCAATTCAATAGTGTTTTCTGCCAGAGGAGATTTAAACTCTAGTGTCTCAGCAGAGGACTGTAAAATTAAAGGAATGAGAACATATCAGGGTAAAATTACTTCCAGTTTCCTCCTACTTGTCCTATTCTGCTTCACATAAAAGCAGCAAATGGACACAGAGTGGGAGAAAGGGATAGAGTGAGAGCGCTAGAAACTCTGTAGATTAGGCACTGGGGAACTCAGTGGGAGAAGTAATCCTTCAGGGATAGTTTCTGCTTCATCAGTATATTTAAGTAAAAATCTTTATAATAAAAAAGAGTGCAAATGGGAGTTCAGTTCTGTCTTCAGTCATAGGATAGAACTCAACTCGAATCTCCTTAGTCCTGAACACACCCTCTTCTCAAATCTTTTTTATGAACAGAGGATATGCAGGAAGGAAGAAAAAATGTGATCTTAGCCTGCCTGGGATGCTCTTCCTTTCAAACACTTTTTCTCCTGCTGAGTTTGAAATAAACTAATGACGCTTACTCAACTTGTGATAGAAAAGGGAACCCACAACTAAGGAAAATTTGAAATTTGAAATCCAAGAATCAGGAATATTTCTTTGGTATAATCAGGCATAAGTTCTTTGGAGGCCAAATTTCAAGAAAAATCTCATCATTTCTAACTGCCTTCACAGAGTAAATCCACCAGTGGACACTCATTAACTATCTCTTTTCAAATGTTCTATGCACTGTATTGAGATAAAATATGAAACTGATGGTTTTCACTGTGTGAAGATGTTCGCTGAAATTTCCAAATGAATGCTCTGAGCCATAATGCACCAGATTGCATAAATTATTCTTGATTAACATTGCATAGAAAGCAGGAAACTATCTTCTTTCATTCAACTGTGCTTTGGAGCAAAGTATTCAATTCTCTTAGAATTCATTTGTAAAAGATTGCTGTTGCTTAACATCAGAACTGCAGTTATGCTTATGGAACTGAAAGTAGCCCTGAAATCAATACAAATTGCAATATTTAATTTAATATTTCCTACAGGCTCACAGGTGAAATTACTAAGGCATGCAGATCTTGGCATTTTCACTATGTGAAGAACTTAGCACATAATTCAGGAACTTCACAGGAATTTGTTTAGAAGTAAATGCTGCAGGTCTCAGTGTTACATTACCAGCAGCCATTATATTGCTCTCACCTCTGAATTAAGACCTAGCTGAAACACTGAAAAATGATGCATTAGCTCTTAAAACTTTCAAGATTTTATTCCTTGCTCTCTCTGCCAAGAGATCTTTAAAAGTGACAGAACAGAGTCAATGCTTTTCAAGATTCATCAATCCACCAAAATGTTTTTTTACAGATATGCAAACACTTAACAAAAGATATCAAGTTTTAGACACTATCAGTATGAACAGGATTACAATCAAAGACCGAGAAGAAAGAAGATGCATGTATTCAATGCCAGCATCCTGAAATAACCTGAAAATAACATCTGAAGAAAACTACCAATGTATTCCTTGAAAATTTTACCTCAATTGGAAAACTCCATAAAATGAGAAATGCTGCCAAGATTTACAGTACTAGAAGGGTACTTAACAAAATTTTGTGATAGTTATTTTTTCTAGGAAATTCTTGCACTGTGTTTTCAAGTTAAGTTCATGTGAAATTAGCTCCATGCATTATATGAAATAAAATAAAACAAACCTAACTACTTAATTTAGTATCTTTTTTCAGGTATGCTATGCGTTATTTTAAAATGATCAAATGTCTAAAAAAAAATACAATTAAACTGAGTAAAATAAATAATATATTTTTTTTCCTTAAAATTTCATTCACTGAAATATTCATCCATTTTAAAACAGATGAGTTCAAGGTTACGGTAAAGTTCATGATGTGGATTCTTTTCTTTGGATTTTGTCAGAGAAATGTGCCATACAGAAAAGTTTTCCAACATATTGAAAAATCATGTTCAAAAAAGTTTACAAATGATTACTTCACATTTGACCTTTTTAAATATAAATTCTTTCCTTCTCTCTTTTTTATTCCAGTCAGAGTACAATTTTCTGTACATTTAAATTCTGTGTTCACATTACTTTCTCTGACAAATAAAAGACATTTTCAGGCATTATTTTAGAAAAGATAAACCACTGACTCAACATTGATATCGTCTGACCACTCAGATTGTTGGGAAAAAGGATGAAACGTTTTCAGAACTTGGAGGTTATATTTCAAATCTTGCTGTACACCATGAAAATGAGCTATTTTAACAGGTATTACAAGATTCACTTCATAATTCAATTAAAATAACCTTTTGCCCTGACTTCGCTTCGACACTGCAGGCAAATTACAAGAACATCAGTTATTATTGATTTTCCTCCAACACTTACAAAATCATAAGTTGTCTTCCTGAATGGTACCAAAAAGTAAATGCTGCCTCCAAGTCACCTTAGATACAATCAAATAGCAGGGGAATTGGAGGAAGGCATACAAATTGCTAAACACTAGCACCACTAAGTGCAACTATTCTGTTGCAGAAAGCAAGCACTATAAAACATTAGAAAAAATGTCTGTAGTTTTAAAAGACTTCAAGTGCACAAAAGAAAATTTTAATCAGAGCTGTAGTTTTTAGCCTTCTAATACAAAGCAATTCTTAAAACAAAAACAAAAACAAAAAACTCTCATCTCTTTAAGTGTGAAGAAATAAAAGATACCTCTTTCATCTTTCATTCTTTGCCACAGCTGACAGCTCACAAATCATGAAGAACCAAGATAATCATTTAGCAGAACGTTATCACTGTTTACAAACTATTACATAGCTTGTGCATGGTGCTACAGCCTGAAAAAAAAATGTTTCTTTGCATGCATGTATTAATATGAAAATTACACAATATTTAACTTTTTTCATTATATTGCTTTATAAGAATTTAGAAAGGTAGTTAGAAAACATATTAGCATTTGTTATACACAGAGTTATAAAACTGTCACTATAAGTTTTGTTTTTAATGTCCTAAATAGAGAAACAAAAATATAATGGCAAGCTAAAATCACTTTTAGCATTCTGAGTAAAGTGAATAATATTCTATCAATTTTAAATATAAGCGTCACAAGTGTTTGCTTTTTATAGATTTTTCCCTCTTTAATGGATTTAATATAAAGTTGACCATCAACATTTAGCACAAAACTATAAGATTTATGTTTAATTTCATTATTACTTTGAGTCTTGCATGTCAGATATTATTTGGAATCTTGTTAAATTCTCTTAAAGCAGTAGCAGCAGTAATCCAGCATATTCTTGCTATGTTACGGGTCAGTGTTTTAACACTTAACAGGATATATCAATCAAAATTTTCTCATATTCATGAGGTTAGCTGAGATTCAATGCACAGCTCTGCCCTGCCCTTCCCTTGTAATCATTTTTTTCCTTCCGAATGCCAGATATTTTGAATGCATTTGTGAAAAATCTGTCTCAAACCCCTGGAAAGAAATAGAAATCCTAGCAAAGTGTTTACATAGGATCGCAAACAGATGAGAAACTAAAGGCATGAAAATAAACTTGGAAAAAGAGATTACCTCATGGAATGTAAGCATTACCTTATCAAAATAAATTAAAGTGTACTTATAAAGCTTAGATTTTTAGGATTCATAGTTATGTATCTAGTCTTAAACCAAAGAGTGTACACACACATATATGTATATACATTAAAAGATTTTGCTATAAACTTTTCTGATGTAGTATATTTTCAATCCAAAGTAAGTGTAACACACAAATACACTGAAAAGTACTTTTATAACAATTAGCTTAAAATATTACCTA